ACGCCGTAACCAACCCGTGCAGAGTCTTGGGTTCCGCGAGCTACTACGACATATTGGGTCTAAGAGTTAGCTGATCTAATTGCGACGTCTGTTCACCGGAGATGCAGCTGCGAGCGGAGCGTCGCTCTGGAAGCAAGCGGCTCGCTTTGTAAATGGGTTGGGTTTGGGGCCCACTGTGTGGAAGCTAGTTCTAATGAAAAGTTTAACAACACCGCGGTTAAAACCAACTCTTTCTCTATGACGACCACTCCAAACGTATTAATGAATATTATTCAAGGGCAACTGGAATGTGCTATCTCTGAATTGGCAAAATGCCGCTGCCCAGCTCTTTGTTATTCTCGTAAGACTAAAAGCGGTGATGTCTTTTTGAGTACCTGGAGCACACTGATAAACGCTGTCCCTTCTTAAGCTTAAGCGAACAACTGCGAACGAAACTGGGAAGATGGTAAATGCCTTAGTACGAAGAGCTTGTGAAGCTAACCTACTAAGCTGCAATACTCGAAAATTCCACGAAAAGATACGTCGACTTACAGAGGCTTTCTAAATTAGAGCATACTTCTGTAGCACCCCAAGATGGACTCTAGCAACTGTGGCGCAGATTATACGGCATTTATGAAGATAACAATTCTTCAGACTGATGAATGACAGTAAAAATAAAACACTAGGAAATGACGAACCCGATTCCCCAGTGACAAAGGAATAGATGCTCCATTGCGCCGAAATCTGCGTTAATTAACATAAGATTATCTCCCTAAGTATCGCATATAAGATGAAATATTAACCGGCAACAAACAGTCTGGGCCTTATAAGTGAGACTACAGATCTGGCAAATATAAATCCTAGAAAAGACCCGTGAAAAAACGTCACATTAAGAAGCCCCTATGCCGGCTGTACAAACTGACGCTGAACGACACCAGCAGTTTCATCAGAATTGGGAAGTATCTCTGGGACTCTGCAGCTCCCTAGTCATTCCCAACCTGCAATGCAGAAGTGCGGAAGATTACGATATCTTATGAATAGACACCAGCAGATTTCGATAAGGGTTTTGCAGAAGATTTGTGATACTTTGTGCACTAGCAATGGCATGTGCAGCAGAAGATGGTTGTTTGGTTTGTTAATAAAAACACTTCAGCTTTCAAAGAATACCTACTGACAATAGGAGTTTCGAGGTAGTAATTTGAGTTTTGAAAAGGGAAAAGATGGCCCGGAGTGAGATCGGTGGAGTTTTTGGAGTGGAGTGTTTTTGAGATGAGATTTGCTGAATTTTCAATGGAAATTCGTTCAATTATTTATTTGTTGGAAAATCCAAGAGTTTTCGTTCCACGAATAAGAACGAATTTAGTTTCCCAAAGCCCGAATAAGGCACTAATAATTCTCTTTATTTGCCGTCTGACCTTCCAAGTTCGCGAACACCATGGTTGGCTCGTTCTAGCATGTCTTCAGCCACCTTTAGGCGATTGGAATTATTTTTGGATTTGCGCTCAAGCTAGCCGTCAATGTAGAGGGTAGTTGAGCCAACTTAGCAGCAAAAGGTATATTAAAAATCGCTTTAAATTGACTCTTTAAAGAATCCCTTCTCCTCGTCACCGTCGTTCCTTTTATTTTTCCTAGGCTAAAATCACAAACATACAACATTTTGACTCAGAAAAGGAAGTTGCCACACACTTAAGAACTCCTATAGCTGTTACCAAGTATTCTGAGATGAAGGGAGACTGTTTTGTATTTTTCTACTAAAACTTTTTTAGGTCGAATTCGAAGTATTGCGAAGGAATTTTTACTCAATTTTATATAGATTTCATGAAATTTCTCCCACAAAACATTTATAAGTTGTCTGCCTTAAAGCAAATTGAAAAGTATGAGAATTAATTGAATAAACCAACCGTAAACACTGTATAGATTATACAGCATACATTTAGGCGCATAAAGTTTTTATCAGATAATCTCTTTCATACATAAATTATATACACAATAACATCATTAACTGACGCCAACAATAATCTACACTGATATTTAAAATTTCATACTCGATTGAGCAGAAATAATTTCGTAAAAAAAATATGACTACAAAGCAAGCCAAAACCATAGGCCCTAAAATGTAGTATACATACAGGCGCTTAACAAAAATGTTTATGAAAAGACAGAGAAATCCACTTGTGCGTGTGTGTGTGTTAGTATACGTGTGTGCAGACACTTGAATACACCAACTTTCGAAATAAACCTGCGCACTCCGGAGGACATCGATTTTGACACTTCATCAGAAATTCCACAGAAATGAGTAAACTTGAGTGAGGAGTGTGCAGAAGTTGTCAAAGCACGAGATGTCTCCCAGCGGCGTGTATACGCATAATAACGCGTAAATATGTGGCACTGAGGCTGTTGAAGACATTCTTCTCTTTTGCGCTTCGAGCTTTTATTCCACTACTGGGAACGAAATTTTTGTACACATTAAATATGCAGTTGCGGGTGTGCAAATATTTACTAACATTTAAGCGCGTGTATATTTGTATATTTATATACATTTGTATGATTACCCATACGTATATGTTTTTGCTTGCACTCTTTATTGTCGAATTGACCTAAATATTTTGCCTGCTTTCACAGCGCTTTGTGTCTGCGTGTATGCATGTGTGTGTGTATTTGCGTTTATATGTATGTAATGATCTGCTATGCGATGGTATTTCGTTATTTTGCGTTTCACCCCAACGAGTGTTGTTTTAATCGCCCCAAAGTATGCTATTCACCCTGAGTTAATATCAACTTCTGTGACTTTCATTGAGAAAATGTGTGCTTTCGTGACTTAAAAACTACAATAAAAAAGAGAATAACAAGAAATAAGTGCTGTTTTCGGCTGTGCCGACGTCTTTATACCTTTTACGAAAATAAAATTATGGATATTTAATTCTAGGATTAAATATAAATTCTCATATCAGAAAAATTGAAGCTTTCCGATTTCAATGATTTTTCATTGTCTATGTACATGTGTAGAATACAAATTTTCGCGCTTTTAGCTGCTTTTTTTGACAAATTTATGATCAGAGCGGAATTAGAGGCTTTACTGGATCAATATCCATTCCAAAAGCAAAGTGAATTGAACAGATCTCGCTGTCGAATTCAAATAATGTCTATGAGCTGTGCATGTCTTGAAAACCCAGAAACGACCGAAATGCTTGACAAGGTGACTTCGGAATCTAACAAAAATCGGCTCATAATGATCCAAAACTACCTGAAACCGCTGAAATGGAAGATCTTAGCCTACCCGCTGCTTGCACCAAACCTCTTTTATCAACTACTTGATTTTTAGACTGATGTCAAACGATTTGCGGCTCACCGGTTTGGGTCTTTTGAAGAAATCGCGATACAAACATTCAGACATACAATGTTTGTATCGAGGGAAGAGTGATCTCATTGTTTAGGTATAGTATTCGACCGCATTGCGTGCTGTCATGCTCAAAGCTCGGGTTTAGATCCCCGTGCGACCAACAACAGCATCCAAATGTTATAGAAAATTAATTTAAATTAAAAATTATGTTAAATTTTCTATTGCGGTCGCCCCTCGGTAGGGAGTGTCAAACCCTCCGAGTGTATTTTTGACATGGAATAAAACTCCTCATGAAATAAAAAACCACAAGCCATTCAAAGGCGGCTTAGTATAAACTGTAGGTCCCTCCATTTGTTGGAAAAGCATCAAGACGCAAAACCACAAATTAGCGGTGGAGTTCAGTCGAAAATCACTTCAGCGGTTACAAAGCGCCAATTATTATTATTACTCTAACAGTGCCAGGGAGATGGGAGAAAGTACTCCCTTTTTGACGGACAATACTCTTAATGAGAGTCACTTTTTTGACACAAAAACACGCACCGAAACCATCGCTCTCTACTAACTTCGATTTCATTCTAATAATTTACAACAAAATTTCGACTTTCTATGATTTATTTTCAATCTGGTGTTAATCCTACCACATCGAACTGAGGCAAGGTGAAGTACATCAAGTGGGAGAATAAAAATGCTTGGATGTATTGTATAAATGTTTAAGTGTATTTTATATACACGGTGTGTCCTAAAAATAACAGAACTTTATATTTAAATCATACAACACACAGCGCCATCTATTGAAAAATACATTCATCCTCTTTCAAACGCACCTAACATCATGTAAGTCGGATGACAGATGTAAAAGTCACAGCCATTTCAATAAAACCAAAAGTGTGCTAATGGTTCAAAAATAAAATGAAACAGAGAGCAAATATAAAATTTTGTGTCAAACGTGGTTTACACGATTTAAAAATGGTCGTGAGGATTTAAATGACGACCCTAAAGCAGGACGTCTAGAAACTAGCAATCGTGCTGAACCTATTGGAAAAAGTCCGTGAAATCATTGGTATCGATGCAAAGTTTACTACAAGAATGTTGGCAGAGGAATTGAATACGAGTAAAAACACTATTTGGAGAATTTTAACTGAAGATTTGGGGAAAAGAAAGATCTGTGCGTGATTTGTTCCACATGAATTAAATGACGACCAAAAAATTGCTCGAATATTTGATGAAAAAGGGGATTTCTCTCATCGATCATCCTCCGTATTCGCCTGATCTATCACCATGTGACTATTTTTTATTTCCAAAACTGAAAACCAAGATGAAGGGAGCATTTTATAATGATATCCCAGCTATTCAAGCAGCCGTCACCGAGGTACTGAAGAACATCTCTATAAATGACTTAAAAAGATCTATGAATGCGCTGGTTGATCGTTCCAAACGTTGTGTTGAGCCAAATGGAACCCATTTTGAATAAATAATAACTTTTAAAGATAATATAATGTGCATCTCATTTTGTATCAAAAAAGCTCGGTTATTTTTGGGACATACCGTGTATGTTCAAGCGTAAAACCTATAACTTTCCAAAATTAATATTTTTTATATACATATATTTATATATTATAGAAATTTTTATAAAAGTAAATCACTCTCACTTACCTTTGTCCACTTATTCTTCTACTTATAGATAAATAAAGAACCCAAAAAGACAGGAGCTTCGAGAGTAACACTTTCTGTGCTGCAGCAGCTGTTCCGCTGAAGCGTGTGGTCCTCTGTACCTGTGGTTGGCAGAGCTAAAGTGCGTGTCACGAAATCAAATTAATCAACCACCAGTGCCGATTTCTCAACATTTGTTCAGCCCCACATTATTGCTCTGTCTGAAGTGGTGGCGCTGCCTTGAATTACAAAGGACGCTTACTGCACGCGCTCAAGTGGTTTCGTAATCAGTAAACAAGAAAAAATAAATAAGCAGCAAAACAGTGAAGTAAGAAGCAATTTGTGTTAGATAAACAAGAAGAAAGTGTGTGACGTCACATACAAAAATGGAACTCTAAGCAGCAGCAAATAGGGAAAACCGCGGAGGTAAACACACACACACACTGCCACAAAAAAGTCTTTTAACAACATAACGCTTTAGAAGAGACTCCTTCATCATCATTCATCACGTAGAACAAAGACAAGCCAACATGTTTCTGCCAGTCAAATCAAATATGTAAGTAAATACATTTTTTGTTTCTTAGCGGTACTAAATTTAAGTAAAAGCCGCAAAACTAACGCTCAAACCAAGCTGGGCAAGTATCGTCTGAGCTGGCAAACTTTAAATGTTTCATTTTGCATTCACAAAGCTGTCGGAAGCCGAGAACAGAGATTTTCCATGTTCATTTCATTTGCGTTGCTACAGAAGATTGCACCCTTAATATTTATTACAGGCATTAGCCTACATATGGTTGCAAAAGTATTAAGTACTCACTGTTGGGCGAAAACATAAAAGTGTTGTTGGGGCAGCAAAGTCACTTTTGTAGAGCTACAGAGTTGGTAATGTCTTAGCAAGCAGAAGAATTGACTGTATTGAAGTTTCGAATATGAAATAATACCCTGTAGTAAATTCAGAGCATACTTGCCTGAGAACAAGACATACAGAAAGTTAGGTTAGATTACCCTTCCTGCTTATATAGACTTAAGAAAGGTTTACTCAATCTAAATTCGTATATCAGAAGATCTTTAGCGAAGTTTAAAAGTGCCTTGAGTGATAATTTTGAGATTTCTTGTGGTTCTCCAAGTGCTGAAGCCTCGAGATGTTTGAGTCGTGTGCTCAATAAGTCTGTACAAACACAGAGCGGTTGTTCAAATATTTGATGAGTGCATAAGTTCGTGCCCGATTCCATTGGATGCCGTTCGAATCGTTTGAGAGTTGCGCTCGTGAAAGAAATATATACATATTATATATCGTTCGAACGGTGACAGTCCGAACTGTAAATCAAGCATAATATAACAAATTTTGATTTGAGTTGCTTAGTGAAGAGACGCATGGAAGATGGACAACGAAAAAGATCATATGCGTCATATTATGTTATACGAATTCCGCAAAGGAAAAACAGTAGGCGCTGCAACTAAAGATATTCGCGAAGTTTATTTGGACCGTGCTCCAGCACTCCGCACAGTAAAGAAATGGTTCGCGAAATTTCGTTCTGGAGATTTTAACCTCGAAGATCAACCTCGCAGTGGACGGCCTTCTGAGCTTGATGACGATGTTCTAAGGACTTTAGTTGCGAATAACTCACGTATTTCGACGGAAGAGGTTGCCATTGAATTGAACGTCAACAAATCAACCGCGTTTTGTCGTTTAAAAAAGGTTGGGTACACTTTGAAGCGTGATTTATTTTGAGCTCTTGCCAGCTGGAGAAACGATCACTGCCAACAATTATTGTCAGCAGTTGGTCGAATTGAAGAAAGCAAGTGATCAAAAACGTCCAATTTTGGCCAATCGCAAAGAAGCTCTTTTCCATGATGACAACGCCAGGCCACATGCTGCAAAACCGACCCTGCCCAAACTGAAGGAGATGAATTGGGAAATCATGCCGCATCCCCCATATTCACCCGACATTGCACCTTCTGATTATCATTTGTTTCGATCGCTGCAGAACAATTTGAATGGAAAAAAATTTAAAAATGTGGAAGACGTCAAAAACCACCTTGACGCCTTTTTCAACGAGAAATCGCGCGATTTCTATGAATCAGGCACCCGTAAATTGGTTGAACGTTGGGAGTGGATTGCCGAACATGATGGCGAATACATAATTGATTAATAAAAGCGCTTTCTTCAAAAAACTTCAATTTTAGTTTGCACTTGAAATCGGGCACGAACTTATGCACTCATCCAATATCTCACTCTTACCCGCCTCTCTGCATTTTCTGCATGTATCGCTGTTAGGTTAGGTTGTGGTGGCTACCGATTTATTATATCGACTACACTTAGGCCTGACTAAGGCACATTGTCACACCAGAAAAACTTAACTATTAGTCTTCGTTACCTAACCATTTTGCTTCTCTACTATCCTCATAAGATCCATCACTTGGATGTCGGTTAACTTCGATAGATCATCCAGCTGTTGGGTACGAAACCCAGCACTGCGTAAAGCAAAACAGTCAAATAAGATATGGGTGCGCGTTTCATCCTTCTCATCATTCTTGCAACTTCTGCATCATTTTCTATCAGACCGTGACCTGTAAGTACTCCTAATACATCGGACATGCCCCTTTCTTTTTATGGAGTACTTGTCTCGTGATATCTGTTTTATATTTATTTATACACCCCTTAGCGTATTGGGTATATCCTGTATTGATTCCGTCGCCAAACGAATCATACTTATGGCACACCTGTGATGTGTGTAATGGAAGATGTGACAATCAAACCATATTGATTCGTCCGTCTTTTCCGTCTTTTTTTTATTCGTAGGCATCTATAAGGCATCTTTTGATATATCGAATCCTCTCACCTAGTATGAGATCCCCTTTTCTGTAATAATTCAGACTAAACTGAGCAGGATAGAAAAGTGGGTCATTGATCCTGGGTTAGGCATCAACCCACAGAAAACTGAACTTGTTCTCGTCACTAGGAAGTAGAAAATTCCCAAGTTCCTAACACCAACTGCGCATTGCTGAGCTTGCGAAATACCTTGGACAGGACAGAAAATTAAGCTGGTCACAGAACTCAAAGGATAGGATACAAAAGGCGTCTGTTGCCCTCTATACCTGCAAAGGAGCGATAGGCCGGAAATGGGGCAAGCCACACAAAATAGTACATTAGCTTCATATCACAGTTGTTAGGTTTTGAGCAAAAGTTAGCTATTTCCAATTCGTACAAAGGGCAGTGCTCCTGTGCACAAACTGAGGCATTGAATATTCTCTTGGATCTACTCCCCGTATACATGAGACTGTTAACTGTCTCAGATCAGCGCTACTTTCGGATATTCGTACCCGGATCTGCTCGTTTCGCCACAGAGCACTTACCTTCCACTTTCGCCGTAATGAAAGAGTTTGGGCATGTTGCTCTCCACTTGTAAGCTCAATATTAGAGAGTTATTCATTAATGATGCCAACTTAAGATGGAGAAGTCTCAACACATGTAATGTGGCCAGAACAATATCGCCAGAATGGAATAGTAGAAAGTCACGTGACCTTCTCGAGCTGATAAAGATGGAAATGTCTACAGGACATATCTTATTAGGCAGCCACGCTGAGTAGTTTAATGATTTCTGCAGAAGTTGCAGACAGAAAGAAGCACCGGAATTTTTAAGGCACTTTCTTTGCGAATGCCTCGCACTTTGGAGGAGTAAGCTGAAGTCTCTGAGGCGGCTACACTTAGAGACCTGAGCGAGATATCGGGGGCGACAACTGTTCAGTTTCGCAAACTCCACGCACTGGTTCGATGAGCGGATGGGGTCTTTTGGGATCCTCAGTGGTATCACAATGGGCCTGTTTGGGGCCCGGCAGCCACTTCAACCAACCAACCAATTCAGACCAAAACTAGAATTTTGATAATAGTACAACTATGTCACCACCTATAAAAGAATTTCTTAAGGAATCTAGTTCTAGATCGCTCAAGAAGATGGTTGTATACTTTAAATCGGCATGAACATTTTGGTGATGATGAGACCCTAGCGCCGCCTAGCGAGTATTCCGACTCTATTCGATTGGAAATGAAATATATCACATGCAGTAAGCTCATTGCACTCTTTGGGGTTTAAAAAAGTAGAATATTTTCAGTAATTAATTCAATCTGAACAAAATCGAGCACAAATAAAAATATTGCTAATAAAATAAATTTGGCGCCACCTATCGGTACTTTCCCCTTTCCTTATAAGCGAGTATATTTCTAATATGAAGAAAGTGGAATTCAAATAAGGGTTTTGCTGGTAATTTGACTCTGGCGCCGTCTAGCGGAAGTTGCTTCGTGTCAATATATCAAAGAAATGCATCAATCATCAATATCAAAAACTTCTGCTAGAAATTGTGTTTTAAAAATTTTAGTTTTATGGTATTAAACAAATTGAATAACCTTAAAAGGAAACCAGAAAAATCTGTTCAAAACTTTAATATTAAAGCTAGACTTACTGCCCCTCACAACAACCACTGCCAACGCCTAAAAGCAGACATTAGCCACTTTATTCATTAGCACAACATAGACGAATAGTAATGACAGCGAGACAAGTGGGCGACAGAAAAATTGACAATAAATTGTAGAACAATGCAACAAAAGAGACGCACCAAAAAAAAAAAAAAAGAAGGGAGGAAAAATATGGGTGACCAAAGCACATAGCAACGGTCATTAATGTTTTGGTTATTGTGATGACTTTTGCCTTTCAAAATAAACTTACATACATATGTGAGGGGTAAAAAAGAACAACAAGAGAATGGGAAAACATGCTGAGGGTGTTGCTAGTTTCATGTTAACAGTGTTTTTTCATATTATTTTTTGAATTCAACTGGAATAATGTAATTATTTACTATGCGGAACTTTAATGGCACTTACGCATGTACATATAATATGAACTACATATATGCATGTAGTAAACAGTTGTTACATGGAAATGTCAATCGATCATGTAAGTAAGAGTAGTTCGCATGAATAGTAAATTATTAAATATTAAAAGTAATGGGATAATTAAAAAAAAAAAAATTTTTTTTTTTAAATTCAAAAAACAAAAAACAAATTTTAACTTAGCTGACTTTCACAGAAGAACTAAGATACAGTTACAGGAGGTTAACCATGGGTCCAGGTTGGTATCATATGAGGGAGCGTTTTATGTTCGCGACATGTGACGGTTGTAGAAGGACGATTCTGATTATTTAAACCGTTAAGTTTGCAGTGATTAATAATAATTCCAAAAACGAGGCTAAATTTCTATTAAATATGTCGTATTTGAGCCTGCAAGGGATCAGTGGGAAAAATCTCGCGCCACTATTAAGCTCCTTACCAATCTAGGAAAATCATAATGAATGAATATCTTTGACTGACGGTGACTAAACCGGTGGGTAAAACCAGAATGTACAAGTGGCACAGTTTATTTAAACAAGCAAGAAAAACCCTTGAAGACGACCCGAGACCAGCCTCGCGTATCGAGGTGAGCACGCCAGAACTTGATATTTGAAGCTCAGCTAAAGCTGAAACAACTCGCAGAAAAGCTTCATGCATTCAATGAAAATATTTTA